GGTCTGTAAACCGTCCAGGAATGGCTCCCCAGAGCCTTCTCTTCCCCAGGCCATGCAAACCTGACTCTGCTGCTGGGCTCCCAGCAGAGGGGTCCCATTCTGTGTTGATACTGGGAGTGCCCTGACCTAGGTGCAGGACCTTGCACTTGGCCTTGAACCTTGTGACCTTCACACAGACCCACTTCTCAAGCTTGTCCAGGTCCCTCTGGATGTTTTTTTCTGACCTTTGTGTTCTCCTGAGCCTGGTGTCCACCCAGTTCCCACGTGTGGCTTCTCCCTGCCCGCAGTGGGCAGCTCCAGCGGTGGCACAGGGGTGTGCCCAGGCAGGGAGCTGTGTGCCCAGGCAGGGAGCTGTGTGCCCAGGCAGGGAGCTGTGTGCCCAGGCAGGGAGCTGTGTGCCCAGGCAGGGAGCTGTGTGCCCAGGCAGGGAGCTGTGTGCCCAGGCAGGGAGCTGTGTGCCCAGGCAGGGAGCTGTGTGCCCAGGCAGGGAGCTGTGTGCCCAGGCAGGGAGCTGTGTGCCCAGGCAGGGAGCTGTGTGCCCAGGCAGGGAGCTGTGTGCCCAGGCAGGGAGCTGTGTGCCCAGGCAGCCAGGCAGGGGCCAGCCCTGGAGCCACAGAGGGAGCAGACCCCGAGCAGGGGAAGTGGGGAGAGGAGGCAGAAGGTGCCCAGCAGTGGCAGCTGCAGGGGGGCTGAGCTGGCAGGGGCTGGGCAAGGGCCACGGGTGGGAGTGGGCAGTGGAGAACGTGCCAGAGTGGGCTCAGGCCTTTCTCCTTGCACTGCTGCTTCCTCTGCACGGGTGGGGTCACCAGCTTGATCTTGGCACTGAACCTGAACTGGAGAGAGGCTGAGACACTAAAGGTGTTACTTGGTCCTGTCCCTCCTCCAAAATACCCTGGGTCCCCTGTGGTGCCTTCATGGGGGCTGGGGAGGGGACAGGTCTCCTGGGGGGCCGTTCTGGAGGCTTTAATAAACTCACCCCTGCACAATCTCCTTCCAGGAGGAGGAGATGTCAAAATTGAGAACCAGAAGCTGAACTTCAAGGAGAAGGCCCAAGCCAAAGTGGGCTCTCTGGACAACGTGGGACACTTGCCAGCAGGAGGAACTGTGAAGGTGGGTGCAGCATGCTCTGGCACGTCAGGGTAGGGGTTAAATTTTGCTCTTCTCCTTGTCCTGCTGTTGATGGAGTGCAGCTTCCTTAACCCCAGCCTTTTACAGCCATCTACTGATTTATGTGGCCTGTGTTGTGCTCCCCAGAGGCATGAGTTGAAAGGGAGAGCACTGTGAACCACCTTGGTGGCCTCCTTGAGAGGACTCCCTGCTGGGGAGGTGTTTCTGAGGGGCCCCTGCCCCCTGTTCACACCCTTCCTCTGAGAATCTGGGAGCAGGGATCACTCTGTGCACTCCAAGCCATCCGAGCAGCTCCCTGTGGCCCTTTCCTCCCTAAAGCTGCTGAGATCCAAGTGCTCTGTGCTGGGGGACAAGCACCTTGCAACTCTCAGGAGCACTTCACAGCCCAGAACCTGCAGCCCAGCCCAGAGGCACTTTGTGGGAGGACAAGGAAAGATTGTTCCTCCCTCCCCACTGTGACTCAGCCCTTCCCATGGGAGCAGAGACTGGCCCCAGCCTGGGCTCTGCAGGTCACCCCAACGTCAGCTCTGTGCCCAGGGGAGGGCATTGCCCCCCTCGACTGGCCAGGTGAAGGGTCTGGGGGCTTGGCTCACACCACGGGATGGTTAGAGCAGGGCTGGGGGTTCTCTGTAGGCAGTCACTGGTTTTTAGGAGAAACACCACAGCTTCTGAACTGGCTGGTAGCTCTGGAAGCAGGAAAACTGCTGCACTCTGGCATCAGAACTGTTAACAAAGGACTTAGGTCGGCCCTCAGCAGGACAGAGGAGGGGAGGCCCCATGGGAGCAGTGAGTTCCCTGGGCTGTCCCAGGGCTGGTTTTGGAGCCCTTCTGTGTGAGGAGGGGTAGCCGTTCTGTGTGAGGAGGGTTGAGCCATGGGGTGAACTGGAGAGCACTGAGCCCCGTCCTGGAGAGCAGATCCAGCAGCACAGCTCCCAGGTCTGCTCCATCATCCCTGCCACAGGAGCCCCTGCTGGAGGGGGAGCTGGGGCCACAGCAGGACTCACCTTCTCCAGGTCCCTCTGTAGCTCAGGGGGGAGCTGGAAGGGACCAGGGAAGCTGCTGGGAGGGACCAGGGAAGCTGCTGGGAGGGATGGGGAGCCTTGTGCCATGGTGCCACTTCACCAGTGTCTGCTCCATCTGCAGTGCTCTGCTGGTAACTGGGGTTTTCACTGAAGTTCTAAGATCTTACCTGCTCAGAATTAGTCTCATTCTTTTAGTATTTTAACTCATCTCCATGGGTGTGAAGACTCTCTGTCAACAACACTCTGAACCAGCATTTTTGGGGGGCTCTAATATTTAGCCTTGGAATAGAGACCAAACCATTTCCCTGTTGCATCCCACAGACCTCAGCCAGTGCTGTTGTCAGCACAGAGGCTGGTGGCACTTTGGGGCTGGTTGCATTTCAGGGCTGGTGGCATTTCAGAGCTGGTGGCATTTCAGGGCTGGTGTCACTCTGGGGCTGGCTGTTCTCACTCAGCTGCCCCCGTGGCTCTCATGGAGGTGTGGAGATCATCCAGGTCCCTGTGGCTCCTGCAAAAGCACCTAGATACCAGTGTTGCTGCCAGTTCATAGGTGGGAAGGTGGACCCCAGAAGAAAGACTGGGTGGTGTTGCTGCTTGCTGAGTCAGCAGCTCCAGAGACAGTCTGTGGCTGGCTGGCGTTGCTGCCCAGGCAGGAACAGCACCTGAGTCCTGAGAAGACTTGTGCCAGGGGAGGTTTCAGTTGGATATTAGGAAGAATTTCTTCACTGAG